TGTGTGTGTGTGTGTGTGTGTGTGTGTGGATAATAGCAAACACGGAAATACATTTTTGGCACGCAGCAATGAATTTTGTTCACTCAAATTCAGCTTTTCTTCAAAATAAATTTCTCCTCAAAATACAACACTTGCACCTGCAAACCTTTTTTACGTGCGTTAAAATTTTTTTTACATGCGCTCAGAATAGTGGCACAAAAATAACGCCATAGAAAGGAACTTAAAGCTTAAGTGTGGAAAATCTTTCTTTACTTCTACTTTCTATGGACAGAATAAAGGTGTACAAGCATGCACCATGTGTGTATTGTAGTAACAAAATTCAGTGTAGGTTTGAAGTAACTGGGTCAAATGAGAGACAAGCCATGATTTAAATGTCAACCTACACATTTTTCAATATTTTTGTTCTGTAACTGTAAATTTAAAACACAAGTGTGGGGGGAAAAAAATACAAGTAAATATGAATGTTTTGTACACGTTTCCAAATTTTATTCTAGAAGCACTGACATTCTTGCAACATATTTAACTTGATACCATGAGTCATACTGTCAGAATCCTCGAAGCACAGGCCAAGATGGAGGAATGTTACCCTCTTTAGCCCTAGCTAATCAATCACCCAAAGACCCAGACATTTATAATTTATTTGAAAATCATATATTTGGCCTAATAGAAAAACACACACACACACACACACACACACACACACACACACACACACACAGTTTAATTTGAGAGACTGACATTTTGGTTTTATTTTATACTAGAAAGGCTAAAACCCTGGTCGAGGTGTTGTACCCCATTCCCACCTACACACAACTTGACTAATTGATCAAGTTGACTCCAAGAATAATGGCAGTGCTCCCCTTGTTTATGTAACCCAATATGTGTCTGTATTTCTGAATAGGCATAAGTGACTGGCAGTGGAACCACTCAGGGCCACGAAAAGGTAATCCCGTAGCAGAAATAGCAGAAATCCCTAATTATTTAAGCATAACCTCTGCAAAACATTAGTGGCCAGTTTTAATTCATGTTGTACCATGTCACCTAAGTACAAAGACATTTTTTTTTTTCTTGAAGCACTGGTACAGTTGAGGCTATTCTCATGTGTAGATAATAGATATTTTGCTAATGTAAGGTTAAATTTCATGAAGCAGGATCAGTAGATCAATTAAATTAACCACAAAAAGGACCATAGCACTCGGGGTAGATGCGCACTCCTTTACATTTCATCACAGGCCATCTGCTATTACCGAGCTGTCATTTCTGTCTGGACTTTGAAATTTAGATTTTCATTTTGAGAACGGATCACAAATGACCCAGCAATGTGCCAATTATCTGTGGGCAAGAGTGAAACTAGTCAGTGATCCTAAGCTTACCTAGCCCTGCTAATTACTGGTCTAAGACCTACACTGCAGTGTGTGTCCAACCTTAGGAATATGCAGAACTTAAGATGTCCTTAATATGTTTCTGTTTAAATTTTTTAATTATAACATTAACAATAATTAACTGGTTAGTCTATTGATCCTGCTTTTTGAATTTACCCCTCAGGTGAGTTGACGGTAGGAGAGATTTTAAATAACTCCTTCCAAGTCCTAATTGACAACTCTCATAAAGGTAGGTTTCTTCAAATATATTACCACAGTTGTGATAATGATGATAATGATGTATTGATATTTGATATTTTCAGTCACCCACAGCCGAGGAGCTGAGAGGGCTGTTGTCTCCTTGTTTTGAAAGGGTAATATGTATCTATAAGGCTGACCAGCCCTAAATGTGTTTTTTGTTTGTTTTTTTTTTCTTTTCTAATACAGATGCCAACAACTTACACAACAGCTCTGCGGCTACGACACCTGTCACCAACTCTGCAGCCAACACCTCTGCTGTGAACCGCAGTGTCAATTCCAGCAATGCTGTTACCATCACAGCTCAGATTAATACTGCCACCAGCACCGTTAACATTACATCGCCAGTTAACCTGCAGCACCCTGTCACCATCACTGGCCCTGTGAACCTGACCTCTGTTGGAATCCCTACAACAGCACACATGAATATTGCCCACCCGGTAGCTATCACCACTCCTATGCCCATGAATATAACTGGGCCACTCAATATTGCTATGAGGCCCATGGAGTCTATGCCTTTTCTTTCCCAGGTTCTGCCATCCTCCCCTCCTTGGTAGATCTTTTGTTCCTCATGTAACAGTTAGTGATGTTTTAACTGCCTAATAACGGACAAAGCCATTAGATATTAGTAAAATCTCCCTCTAAATGAGTTGATAGTGTACTGGGCATAAAAAGGTGAACTAATGTGTCACGTAGATGGTAACCAATGATTGTTACTTACAGAGGTCAGCATTATTACAACATTATGTGGTAATTATGGATTTTATTTTTAGTTAATACAGAAAATACATATTTTTGTAACTTAGCAATGGTCAGAAATTAATTAATCAGAGTACTAGCATGTACATAAATTGTTCTTTTATAGAATATATATGCATTTTGTTTTATGCATTTTACCTTAGGACATTAGTAGAAATGTTTTAATAGGGGAAGACTTTGTTGATTGTGAGTTGTTGGTTTTTTTGTTTTGTTTTGGGGTTGTTGTTTTTTTTGGTTTTGGTTTTGTTTTTGTTTTTTTGCCTAATTCAGTGAACCTGAAAAACCACAGTCCTACATCATATTGATGCAAAATCTGTAAATCCAATAATATGTCCAATAATATTGATAAATAGTTGTCAAACCTATTAGTTGGATCCCTGAAGGCAGAGCCAGTCTTACATGTCCATGTTTTAAAGAGCTGCCATTGCTTGCTTTCAACGTCACGAATGAGCTCTCATGCTCAGGTAATTCCAATTTGTTACATCGTCATCATTTAACTAGATAACATGTGATTTCATAGTTTGGGAGAAGTGGAAATAGGTTTAAGCCAAAGAATTTTATAAATGTAATTTTGCCCATGAATGATATTTTCAAAAAGAAGGGGGAAATCTTTTAACCAGTATGGAGATTGTTTTTTTTCATCTGAAAACCAGAGAGAATAAATTGTTGCCTTTAAAGAGACTAACACAGTAGATGCTAACGTGTCCTGGTCATCACACGATTACGCTCAAATGTTTCCAGGACCCAGTATATTGCTCAAATATGAATTCTACTTTTTGTACCATTTTAATGTTTGATAATGCTAATATTGATGTATTAGTCAATTGTATTACTCACAGTTGATCATGTGAACAGTTTTAATTACACCTATAGACTCAAACCAAAAAGTAGGTTCTTTCACTTAAACATGGTTTTAAATTATTGGGCAGTTATTACACTTCCAGCTGTTCCATGTTAAACTACTTTGTATTTGCATTTTACCCTTTTACAAATATGTATAATTTTACTGTAATGGTTGACACTGAGCAAACTCAGTGCAGGAGTCTTTACCGTAAACGCAATATACTGTAGGGAGACAAACCATTTAAGATCATTATTTGACAAGACACTGTTGATCTTATCAGAGTGAGAAGTAAAAATTATATTGTGCAACTGGACATCTTAAAATATGGATAATGTGTGATGCTATACTGATATTTAGGAAATGTCTTAATATTTGTGTTGCTTCTTCTTTTCTTTTTTTTGTCCTTTTTAGCTGATTTTTATTTTAGTGGACTTCTCAGTATTTTATATTTGATATGTTTTAAAGTTAAAACAAGATATGTTTATTTGGAGTATGTTTTGATAAATTTTGCGCCCCTCCCCAGCAGAATTTCTACAGTTAAAGTTGCTGGAAGCACAATCATTCCTTACTGCTGGAGACAAGTTTATGTGGAACTAAGTTTGGGGGGGTTGTATTATTTTGTATTTGAACGTGACAGGTGAAAGTATTGCTTCCTGAAAAATGTCACTTAGGCTTTGCCTGTTAAAATCCTGGTATTATCAAAAGTCAAACATTAAATGTAGCTTTTTTTAAGACATTTTAAACGTGAAAGCCAAAAGAGAAGACATTAAATTTAAGTGGCGCAGTCCCAAAGTTTCTGTGGTGTGTTCAGTTGGTTAGATTTTTAATTTAGCAGATAGTGGATCCCATCACTGTCCATCATTTGTGTCAACATGTCAGACATTTTACTCTGACCTTTTTTTCTTTTTCTTTCCTTTCAAACCAATAATGTAAAACACTATTTTATTGCCTTTACCCATGGCAGATAAAGCCTTTCTATTAACTACATGTTATTGGTGCAAAAACTTCATCAACACTGATGTGGCCGTCCAGCCTGGAGAGAAAGGAGAATAAGGAGTCTTATACATAAGCCTGGTGTCACTTTATTTTTATTATGAGAAAAATCCCACTAAAAAGGAAAACATGTTTTACTTGCTGCAGTTTTTATACAGCTGCAAATGTCCAAAAACATTTGGACGCACTCACAATTTTTTAAATTTTGCCCTTTGTACACCATCTCACTGGATTTTAAGACAAATAATTAGGATGTGATTAAAATGCAGACTTTCAATTTTAATTTAAGAGGTTTTACATAAATTCTGTATTAACTATTATGAATTACAGCAGCTTTTTTTTTTTTTACAGGCCCCAATTAGACAGCTGACAAACAGTTTCATGGCAAAGTGACACCTCTTCTTTGATTATTTTTAGCTGGTAAATTATCTGGACATCATTACAAATGTTGAATTTGCATGTGGTAGTTATTAACCTCAATATGAGTGGGAGTCAAACCGTTGGTTACACTCAAGAAAAAGAAGACCAGGTTAGAAAACATTTTGGTTTTGTCTTGGACAAATAAAACCAATGTTATCATTTACCAGAATAGTAGGAAGAGATTCGAAGCATACTACATAATTTGTCAAACAAAGCCTTGGCACGGGCATGTACGGCTTCCACAAATGTTCATTGATGACATGGCTTCTGATAGGATTAGTAGGATGAATTCTGAAGTGTACAACTATACTTTCTGTTTCTATTAATGGCAAATAGATAATGTTGCAAGGTAGACTGCAAAACCAGCCCAAGAGAAAAAGAAGTGAGATATGTTCATTGGCCAAACCAGTCACCTGGTGTCAATTCATATTTTCAGTTAGTAAAGACAAAACTGGAGACCTAGGCAGATGTCCACATCTTGGTGATGTCCATGGGTTGAAGACTTCCAGCAGTCATTGACTGCAAAAGATAATCATTTTTATTACCGTTGCTAAACATTAGTAAACGGATAAAGCAATACTTTTGCTAAACTATTGACTTAAGGCAGAAAATGTGCATCTTAATCACATCTTGGTTATTTTTTTAATTTAATTATATTAGTTTTTAATTTTTTGGTTTCAAAATTAAAATTGCCAGTGTGGTGCTTTAAGCGCAACATAATAAAAATGTTATTCAAATGCTTGTGGATTTAACTATACCTTATCCCTCCAATACTGAATACGGAGTGTTGTCTGTCATCTAAGATTACCAAAATAGGAAAATGGTCATAGTACAAAGTTATCTACATGTTGTCCACTCCAAATGGTGCTACTAATTAGAGATTGAACATGAAGCCATTAATTACTTCTAGAATAATCCCCAGTGCAATAGTATAGTAGGACATTAGGTCTTGCTTGTATTTCCATTAGCCGTGGCACAGTGTTAGTAATATCAAACTATAGCAGCACAGATCAAACCTGTCAGCAGAGAAATGTTCTCGACGTTTGTAATTTGTTTAGGAAAGTTATCTGTTGCTAGAAAGAGAGAAATAAACTACAGCCTTATTCTGTGTAAAAGCAGAGTTTTCTCTGTAGGTTTAATATGACTAATTTTATTTATTTTATTGTTGTTGTTATTGTTTTCTTGTCACTCTAGCAACCTAGATAATTGGGATAATTAATAAAGAACATTTGCCTAGGTGTAAACAAAAGATCAAGATGCTAAAGGATGGGTGTTGTGTTACTGATGTTATTACTTAGTGGTTTTGACAATTTGCAACCATGTGCATGCAGCATCCACTGAGTTGCCCTTAGAAGTTACAGGCTCATGACTCTAAATGTTTACATACCTTTTCCTGCTGTTTCAGCCATTTAATTTTCATTTGTGCCCCCTTCAGTTGAGACTTGTGAGCTTGCACATATTCTGCTGCTCTCTTGGGCAGGAATAGGTTTACAGAGCACGTTACATCTGGAGATGTCTGCTTGATTGTTTGAAAGGGTGAACATGTTTCCTGGCTGTGAGTGTCTTGAGCAACATGAATATACAGTTTTTTGATACTTGGATTTTGTAGTTTTTCACCCTTTTACAGTGTAGGAACTCCGTAGCACCTGCAGTAAATGGTAAGATATAGGGACTACAGGACAATGGTACATAGAGGGGCATTCCAGTTTGGTGTAACTGGACAATGACTGTCAGTCCCACTTCACCTGGCTCATCTGTATGTTGTCAACTCAGTTGTTTAGCTCATTAATTTCATTTTATGTATGCTAACAGTCCACAAGGGAAGGTGCTTTTAATTTTGAATGGCATTATTTGTTGAAAATATATTTCCTGGTTCTTTTGTTTGTTTTATGTTGCCTGTGGATGATGAGTTGATTAGAAGGTAATTAGAAGGGTGAAGACTTTTTATAAAAACACTAAAAAAAAAAAAAAATACAGGATGAAAGCTTAGTATGTGGTGTCATTTGTCCTTCTTTAGTGGCTGGTTAACAAGTGTGCCTAAAATACTTTACAAGACTTTTCTCACACATTGATACTTCCTCTTCTAGTTAAGCTGTGCAAGAGAATAGCCTTGTGAAGGAATCCTTCATTAGTTCAAATGACCTAGGGTCCTGCATGGCCAGTTTTTGGCTTTGTTCTTTAAAGCTAACAATAATGAACTTAATGGACTAATCTTGAAACGCAAAGTGATTGATCTTTAAAAGCGCATGCTCCTGTTAACGTATCATTGACATTTCTCTGTGTGGTTTCACTTTGTAATCCAGCCTAATATGAAAAACAATTTGTTTGGCCAAATAATTATTTCAGTTTTGTTTTGTTTTTTGGTGAAGTTTGTAATTTGGCAGATGTGAAGGCAAATGAATGTATATCTTTGTATAAACCATTTAGTTCAGAAGACATGCTAGTTATGACACACAAGGAAAAAAAACTTTTATAAATCCTTTTTGTATTAGAACATTAACAGTGGTAATTTTTGTATATATGAAGATTAGGCTTTCTGATTAGCAGAAAGGTAAAACATTCCTACATTTTTTTAAATGTATGTCCATTGAGAATAATTATGTAAACATATTTCCAATGTTTTATGTGCCTTTTATTTTAATTTGTTTAAATAAAAGAAAAGAATCAAACTTGTTTGTGGACAGTCTGATACGGAGGAATTTCAGTACTCATTCAAGATAAATTTCTGGAGTGATGCAGATCATCTAAATGCGAGAAGTTGTAGTGACTAATAATTTTTGTTGCTTTTACTAGATTTAGTTGAGATTTCTGAAAGGTTATCTTTGTCGAAGCCCACAACACAAATAAATAGCAGAAAAGGAATAGATGGAGTTGCTGATCTTTTGCAGTGGAGTGGCTGCTTTGAACTCCCGCTAATCCTAACCCACCAGACAGGTGTCTGCACTCATCGTAATTTTGCCAACATGAAACTGTTCAGTAAATCTTGGCATCGTTATTATTCTTCACACAAACCTTTCTGTGATGTGAGGATTGTCAGCCTAACTACAGCTCACACTTTATGTTATCTGCACTCAGACTGGATGTTAGTCCGCGCATGCTACACTGTCACTTTGACAGTCCAGCCAGATGAACCTGTGACACAGCTGCATTCTGAGCATATTTCAGATCAACACTTCCTGTTTCATGTTTAACACATCAGACTCTGCAGCTGTCAATGTCAACATCCAGAGCCTTCAGGAACTCATGGCAAACCTTATTCACCCCAGGGCCTCTGCCACCAAGAAGTTGTTCAATTGCCTCATTGGCCTCACCCCCCTGTGATGGACGAGTCATCCCCCTGTGCTTCCTCTATAGAAGATATGTCATTGGGATAAGGAGGTCCTCCAAGTATTCCTTTCAACACCTGACAATATCCTCAGTTAAGGTCAGCAGCGCCCCACTGTACACAAATCAGGCTTTCCTCTCCTGAGTTGCCTGACGGCTTGCCTCATACTCTTTGAGGAATGAGGCTACGCATTATTATAATGGTGATTTTTCTTTTACAAACAACTCATGAGAATTTCAAGCTGTTTTTAACACTCTGACACTGACACTGGTCTCTCAATCTCCCGTTGGGTAGCTGTGAGTTTCTCCATGATGTTATTTACCTTCAGTTCCGTGGTCTTTTCAGTCTTTTGCTCACAGAGCAGATTCTGAGACCTCACGACCGCAGCCAACTGATCCGCGATGTAATCCAGCTTCCGCCCAGAGGTGTTGTTCCGAGTGGATTCTTCCCTGATGTAATCCAATATACGCTCAGAGGTGTTATTCTGAGCCTTCACTGCAGCCGTTAGCGCCTCAAGCCTTAACCATGCTGCATTCAGTGAGCCCTTCTGAGAAGCCGCGACCTCGTCCCATCGTTTCAATCCCAGCGGGCAGCCTTGGGGGGGTTTGAACAGCCGGTTCCGCTTTCTTAATTCTCCGATAAGCCAGGGCCAAGCCAGCTCCGATCAGCAAGAACCCTGTTATCATGGTTCCGAATAGGTAGATATCTTCAGCGTCCTCGATCGACAGTCCCGCCAGGCACACGATCCTCCATGTCTGCCACCCGTCCATCGTGTATCCGGCAGGGAAAGTCCCTCCAGGGCACTCAGGCTCTCCCGAGCCCAAACTTCTCGTTGAGAAAAGGGTGTCAATAGCATTCAGAGACCAGTTGATCAAATCGTATTCACTATAGCTACTGTACATTATCTCTTACACTTTAAAGTATTATTAGAATAAATTATTATTATTATTATCATGATTAATATTATTCTTATTCTTATTATTAGCTGTATAAAGTGATACCTTTAGACTGCAGCTTTGACATTTCTGATGATGTGTACCTGGAGTAGGTGCTGATCCAAACTTTACTGTGTCGTGCTCCTGGCTGCCTCTAGATGGTGCATCTGTGAAGGAACTGCTGGTGATTGAGAAGGAGGGCTTTTCATCGGTGCTCACACACTCCTCCTGGGGCTCTGTCTGGCTCCTGTGGTTCTGTTGGCCATTGAGGGGCCCAGTGGGGCAGTTCTGTTGGGCACATGCATTTACAGTGCTCTCGGGTTCCTTCTTAACCGTTTCTGTCCATTGGCTCTGGGAGGCTGAACCAATTCCAGAGGCCCATTAGGTTTCCTACAGTTCTGACATGGTGTCGCGCTGCATTTGCAAAGAACTAGCCCTGATGGGCTGTCCTTGGAAAGAGAGGCCCCCTGGGAGTCACTGGGTGTACTGCAAGCTTTAGAGCAGGGGTCAGGGGAAGAAGTCCTTTCTAATGAGGCCTGAGTTTTCATGTCCTCTGATGCTCCACTTGATTGTGTATTTGCTTTCTGCTCAAAGTGCCACTCTGTTGATGAGGCCTTCTGTTTGATGGATAGGTGTCGCATGATACTGCACTGGAGAGCGATGACATCCTGAATCCAGCTGAAACTGAGTGGGGTTTCTCTCCATAGCAGCCGCTATTAGGAGCTGAAAGAGTCTCTTGAGGAGTCGCAGGGTCGGAGCAGAAACTGTACAACTCTCGAGCTCTGCACCCTGAACTTCATCCTCAGGCTCTGCTGCCTCCTCCTCTCCATCGTTCTGCTCCTCTGAGGGGGTTGGGGTGGATGAAGTGTTGGAATTTGGAGTCTCAGGTCGGCTGCTTGGCCTGCTGCTGGTTCTGCGGTCCAATAGTCGTACCTGGGCCACTCATAGACCAGGGCCTGCAGCTCCGTCCCCCGGAGGAAGACCGTCAAGCTGCAGCCGGCCAGCGTTGAGCTGCAGCTCCACGGATGGAGAGGCAGAGCGCTTGGAGGAGGATTTCTCTGGCAGGTCGTTGGTCTGTTCAGACTTCTGTTCTGTACATAGACACACAAAAAAACCAAACACTGATTTAAAAAGCCATCTCTTGACCCTGCTGTCCTACCTAGTAAGAGGCGAATCGCCAACCTTCCTTTTATCTCAAAAATTCTTGAAAAAATAATTTTAAAAAGCTAACAGATAATTTTCAGAGGAATGGCTTATTTGAACAGTTTCAGTCAGATTTTAGAGCTCATCACAGCACAGAAACAGCTTTAGTGAAGGTTACACATCATCTTCTCATGGCCTCAGTGCAACGTTCAAAACTTTTGACCGTAATATTTTATTAAAGCAATTAGAGCATCCTGTAGGTATTGATTTCTGCAGTGGTTTGTATCATATTTATCTAAGGTTAATTATGGATGTGCTAGGACCAATTCTGTTTACAATTTAAATGCAGTATCATCAGAAGGCATAGCATACATTTTCACTGCTATGCAGAGGACACCCAACTTTATTTATCCATGAAGCCAGATAACACACACCAATTAGTTAAACTGCAGAAATGTCTTAAAGACATAAAGACCTGGATGGCCTCTAATTTTCTGCTTCTAAATTCAGATCAAACTGAGGTTATTGTACTCGGCCCTGAAAATCTTAGAAATATGGTATCTAACCAGATTCTTACTCTGGATGGCATTACCTTGGCCTCCAGTAACACTGTGAGGAACCTTGGAGTCATTATTGACCAGGACATGTCCTTCAACACACATATTAAACAAATATCTAGAACTGATTTCTTCCTATTCCAATCTTTGTGTAATATCTCTGAAATAAGAAATATCCTGTCTCAGAGTGACGCTGAAAAACTACTTCATGCATTTATTACTTCTAGGCTGGACTAGATGTTTTCTAGTATTTTGGGACATCATTTTAGAGACAGAACATTACTTTTTACTTACCACATTGTTCATTCTCGCCAATGTCTGAGATGCAGCAGATGATAATTTACACTTTGCACTGTCTTCATGGACTATTGGTTCATTTTACGCAGATTATATAATAAAGTCAGTCTTGTATTCCTTGCAGTCATATCAAACACACAGGCCAGCACCAAGAAATAAAGAAAAGTGCAAGACGCACTGAAAACGCTGACCTGTGTATCTCAATAATAAAAAAAACTATATACATATGTACAGAAATAACTCCTCAGACTAGCCGCATCATGATGGTCTCTGTGTAAGATGGAGAGGTGTTTCCAGCCTTTCCAGACACAGCGCAGACATGAGGAGTTAGAAAGTTTGCTCCAAAGCACGAGGAAACATCCATATGTAACATCCATGTTCCATATGTCCAGGAAAGGCTTCATTACTGATCACAGCCGGAGACGTTTCCTTGGTGGAGTGGGGCTCCTGCTGCTGCTCTCCTCCTCTGCAGGCTTCCTCTTTGCACCCTGTGTAAACCTCTTCAGAAACTGGCAGAGCACCGACATAATTACTCTGCCGTCAGAGGTGTAGTCTGTAACCCTCCATCGATTTGTCATTTCCCTTTCCTCTGTGCAATACACAGTGGAAATGACTCTGGTGATGGTGTCGCCGTCGACATCCAGGGTGCAGACGCAATTCCTCTGATCTGCCTTCAGGACAGAAAGATCTGCCTTCTCTGGAAGCAGAGGTGTGAGGAACCGTGAATGGAGGTGGGACCCTGCAGACGGCACCATTAAACCAGCTGGTGAGTTGGTAGGAGGAGATGGAGTGGTGTTCTCCAACTGACTCTCTGGCACATGGGTGAAAGGTGTCGTCAGCAGCAGTTTGTTAAAGAATCCCCTGAAGGCAATATAAGGAAACGCCTTCGTCCCCGTAACCAGGTTGTGGTTTAATGAGAGGACCAGATTTTTCATAGAGTCCACCTGGCTGGGGCTCAAAGGACGGTTCCTCAGGTTAGAAATGAACATCTGGCGTACGCTGACAGGACTCACCAGCTCAGCTACGAGAAAACAAAAAGATCATCTGTGTTAATCATGACATAATCAGACAAATTACGGATTTAAATGTCAAAACATGGCTTTATATCATCATATGCTATTTCTACACACAGCAATGAGAAGCCCGCAGCAGAACTCTTTATGAAAGCCTTAAGATTGGTAGAAGGTGAGAAAAATGGCTTTGCACTGTAAATGACTAAATTTCATGTTTTAAAACAAAGATCACAGCACCAAACTCTGCTTGTTAGCATGTTTAAACAGTAAAAATGTCCTGATGATAGAATTCATTTGCAAATTCACGTTTTAGCTGCATGTAAATTAAAAATGTACAGCTCATAGTAAAGAATAACTTTGTGTGTTCTTGGTGACTGTGAACAACATTTCATGATAAAT